GGTGGGTGGAACGCACAAAGGCAACTGCAGCCAAATAGAGGAGTGAGAATATGAGAGAAACAACCCCGCAGACCCCCAGGTCAGTGCAGAAGGAGGAGGATGAAGTGCTCCAGGCGCTGGAGCAGAGATTCCCCTGCAGCCCGTGGGGAAGACCATGGTGAGGCAGGCTGTCCCCCTGCAGCCCAGGGAGGTCCACGGGGGAGCAGATCTCCACCTGCAGCCCGGGGAGGACCCCACGCCAGAGCAGGTGGGTTCCCGAAGGAGGCTGTGACCCCGTGGGAAGCCCGCGCTGGAGCAGGCTCCTGGCAGGACCTGCGGGTCTGTGGAGAGAGGAGCCCACGCTGGAGCAGGTTTTCTGGCAGGACTGGTGACCCCGTGGGGGACCCACGCTGGAGCAGTCTGTGCCTGAAGGACTGCAGCCCGGGGAGGGACCCTCACTGGAGCAGTTTGTGAAGAACTGCAGCCATTGGGAAGGACTCATGTTGGAGAAATTTGTGGAGGACCATCTCTCATGGGAGGGACGCCATGCTGGAGCAGGGGACAAGTGAGGAGTCCTCCCCCTGAGGAGGAAGGAGCGGCAGAGACAAGGTGTGATGAACTGACCGTAAACCCCATTCCCCGTCCCCCTGCGCTGCCGGGGGGAGGAAGGACAGAAAACCGGGAGTGGGGTTGAGCCGGGAAGGAGGGAGGGGTGGGGGAAAGGTGTTCTAAATTTTGGTTTTATTTCTCATTACCCTACTCTTGACTTTTGATTGGTAATAAATGAAACCAATTTCCCCAGTGGAATCTGTTTTGCCGGTGACAGTAATTGGTGAGTGATCTCTCCCTGTCCTTATCTTGACCCAGAAGCTTTTTGTTATATTTTTTCTCCCCTCTCCAGCTGAGGGAGGGGGAGTAATAGAGCAGCTTTGGTGGGCACCTGGCATCTAGCCAGGGTCAACCTACCACATAGTGACTGAATTAAGTCTACTGAATTAACTACTGAATCACTGCAAAAATCTTAGCTACACAGTATTACAGAAAATTTTCTTAAAATACAGAAGCTGCTAAATAGGTCTCAATTTAGTCTAAACTGGGAATATTACACACTGGTTTTTTTTTAAATGGCTGAGTTTACATGTTACCTTTTTCTTTCTCGTCCAAACACTGTCATCAGCAACTGGTCTTTCAAACATAATGTAGACCCTCATCATCTGTATTGTTCTTCCATTCTGTCATCCAAGACATACAAGCAGCTCTGCAGCTGATTAGCAAGTTGCCTTTTCAGACTTGTTCCCCTGAACCTAGAAGTCTACGCAGGAATCAGGACACTATCCATCCACCCCAACAACTGCATATCCATCTTCCTGTCCAACTTAGAGTGACCTTGCTGCCTTTCAAAACTCTCCAGAGTAACATCACTTAGACTTATCTATCGTTTCACTTTATTTTGGCTTTCCGTACATCCCCTCTCTCATCTATTCCCTGTATCCCAATTCAAGAGCTTCCATCTATACAGAAAGCTCTTGCTCACTTCATCATTAAAGACCAGTTTAACCTCATCCCCTTTTTTTTGTTGTTTTTTTTAAATAAAAATTGAAAGACATCATCTGTTCAGCCTCTATGCTGCTCTTATCAGATAAATTTTGATGTTCTGAATAAACTTAGAACTCAAACTGTTTACAAGTCAAACAGCTACTTTACAAGCACAGAATTGGAAGGTAAAGAACAGCAACGTATTCACAACTATAAGGTAAAACATTTTCAACAGACTCATGGCAAGAAGAGTAACTCCTGTTATTTTTACACAGCAAAATAATTGGCTTTACTATAACAGAGAGAAAGGGATTTCTCAGTTTACTGAATCAGGTATTTAGCAGCAAAACAGTGGAAAATATGTGAAGATCTGTTGTAGTTTAAAAATTAAAAGTTATTTTAGTTTCCCATGTAAGGCACAATCAGATTTGCCAAATGTGCTATCTAAAAAAAAAAAAAAAAAAAAAAAAAAAAAAAACAAAGCAGGGAGAGGAACCTTCCATTGGAGTCACTGGAGTCTCCTTTGACAGCTCAACCCAAGTCCCTGAAGGTGAAACACAATCCCATTTACTACAGTCACACACATTCTCTACCCACATTAACCAAGTTAAGAGGGTCACTCAGCACATAAGCTAAGGGAGTGCTCTTTACCCCAGCTGAAGCCCTTTGAAGGCACAGATAACCAATTTCTCCTCTGCTGTTATGTTTCTGCTTCAGCTGACATCATGGATAGCTGGAAACTGCTGAAATACACAGTTAACTGATTAAAGGTCCAGACTGAGACTTTTAGGAAATATGAAATTTAATTCTTATGCACAGGTATTGTTTATAACCTTGAGTTGAAAAACGACATCTTTCACAGCTATGCCAAACAACACAGTCTACCAGAAAAAGTTGATCAGCTTAACAGAAAAAGTTCCCCCAGTGTTTTTCTGCTAAGGATCTTCTTAATCATGTTGCTTTGAATACACGATAAATTATATTTATCATATGGAATACTGACTTCACTAAATACTAAAACAAGAGAATTTTTATAGAAAATATACTAATACCAAATACTGTACCAGTGTGATGCCATGAAGACAAATATTTCCAGAAAGAAATATTTACCTATAATAACTGTCTGACAGAACTGGACAAATTTCAGTTCTGCAGGGTATTATCCTCCAGCTCTTGAATCATGATCTTTCTAACTTTTCCTGATGAAGTGTAGAAATGAGCTTTACCATGGATTAGTTATGCAGCCTATGGACACCATAGATGAAGATATAGAGAACTGTAAGTAAGCTAAGTCCACGCAGAACTTTCTCAACATGAATGTACTGTAATGGTTAATGATATGTGTACTCATAACACTTGTGGAACACGATCCTTGTGGGAAACACCTCCTAGAAGTGACTGGTTTTATTACCATTAACTAAAAAAGTGAGTTACTAATCTGCTCTAATTACACTGGGAAAAATTCCCACTGAACACAAGTCTAAGTATCAAGGAAAAAGTAGCGAGATTTGAATGAGAACAAATAACTATTCAGTTCTCCTCAAAATCTGGAGGAATTATTAATTGCTAAGGAAATTACTAAGGGAGGGAGACTAAAACTAACCGATTTCAACACAAAACATCTCTTTTTCTTCAATTATGCAGTCTCCATAATTGATTCTCCTTCATCAGGCACTCATGGGCAGCAGAGACCAGAGAATTGCTTTAGTTTGGCCAGTGCTCTGGTTTGTGCCTATATAATGCTATGCATTAAGGTAAACCATGAAAACAAGTATTTCAAGTTCTAAAACACAAGACTGAAAATAACTTGGAGAGTTCTGAGAATGAGAGAGATGAGAAAAGAGTGACACGTACTTCCTTTATGTTTCCAAAGCATACAGTAAATGCATCAAACTAAGAACAGTATAAAAAGCCATAGTTTAGCAGCAATGAAAGCATTGAGGACAAAAGTTCCAAAACTACACTGCGTAGAACACAGTGCAAAGACAAACTACTTAAACACTTTCCAGCAAGTTATGAGGACCAAATGACAAGTACTACACACTGTTAATATCTCAAATATTGACAGAATATAAAATCTTATAAACATTTTCCTTTCCTTTGAAATACCAGTATTGACAGGAAAATACTTTCATCAGTTCTCCTATGCATGCCTAAATTGCTTCATACAGCAATAAAACTCAGTGAGGCACAAGTTACCATGCCAGCTGTGCAACTCCTACTCTTTCATTTGCACTATACCTGTCCATGACCAGAAGGGAAGAAATATTCTGCACATGATGGCACTGAATAAGAAACCTCTCACAGTGCAGTACTTGGTTGCAACTAGAGGTTGCAAACCAGCTCGTGAGATAGGTTAGATAACTAAAAAAGTTTTTAAGCAAATCTAGAGAACCTAGTGCTGAATTAAGCAATAATGACTTCAGGCCTAGGGCACTTCTTGTGGATTAGTAAGGAGCTGAGAGGAGCTGATGGCCTGAGGCACAGCTAAAGGCCAATAACCCCCAAACATTTGTTAATACCCTAGGAAGTGTCCTGCACCTCTATTATTAATGTTACTCAATGGAAAAAGAAAAGCATACTCAAAGTTGAAATACGTGTAAATATTTCTAAAATATGTAGTATATGCCAAATCAACTTACCTAAATCAGAACATTTAAATTATTGAAGATCTGCTGGATATCAACTGATAAGTGAACATCATTCTCCAATTACAATTTTTTACCAGATTTTAATTAGTTGAATCAAGAAGTAAAAAACCACATAGAAATCACAGTAGAATATTACATTACAACCAAATGTCTGAAGAACATCTGAGACAGCAAAATCAAAAATATAGTTGTGTGTATTTATTTTTAACTAAGTTTGTCTGCCACTTCTCTTGTTATTGGTCTTGCAAGTATTTCCTGAAATGTAAAGAAACTGAATACTCCATCCCCCTTCTACCTTTGCATGTTTTTTTCCTTGAGCCTCATACAGTATTATCATTGAGTGACAAACTCAAAACCTCACTGAGAATTGACAGCTCACATCTCCCAGAGCTATGGTTCCAAATTAGTTTTGTGCAGTCCATTACAGACCAGTTTCAGAAGATTCTATGACTGTATCCATTCTAGGGGCTTCTGTGATGGGTGTTAGCCTTGGCTAGCAGCCGGACTCCCCCCCAGCCACTTTTTCCCCCCCCCAAGTAGGACAGGGGGAAAAAATAAGAATATGAATGAGAAAGCTCACAGTCGAAGCTAAACACAGGGAAATCACTTACCAATTACTGTTGTGGGCAAAACAGACTTGACTTGGGTTAATTAATTAATTTATTGCCACTTAAAATAAAAATATAATTAGTAACTTGGGTAGTAGGAAAGAAAAAGACAAACCTTAAATCAGCACCTCCTCTCCCCCCTTTCCCAGGCTTAACTTGACTCCAGACTCCTCTAAGCCCCTCCAAGGAGTACAGGGGGACATGGGGCAGTGGTATGGTATGTATGGTCAGTACATAGCATTTTCTCTCTGACATTCTTTCCATCTCACTCTTTTCCTCTGCTCCCGTGTGGGGTCTTCATGGGCCACAGTTCCTTCAGTAACATCCGCCTGCTCAGCACAGGTGCTCTACAGGGCGCAGTGGATACATGCTCCACCATGGAGCACCTTCTGTTCGTCCTGACCTTGGTCTCACCTGTGTTGTTTCCTCCGCTGTTTCTCAGTCTTTGTTCCCTCCTCCTCTTTCCATCCAGCATTTTCTCCCCATTCTTAAATGGTTTCACAGAGGTGCCACCAGGCTGATCAGCTCAGCTGTGTCCTGTGGCGGGTTCACTGGAACCAGCCATGTCTGGCATGGGCAATCCCTGGCCTCTTCTCACAGAGGCCACCACTGCAGCCCCTCTGCTACCAAAGCCTTGCCACCTGCACTCAGTACAGCTTTAATTCTTCTGGCCTCAAGATCTTTCAGTATGATGGCATTTACTGAAATTTAGTCACAAAAATTAAAGTTGCTGTACAATTAGAAGTATTGTACTCTTAACCACAGAAGAAACAGCCCAATAGAAATCAAGCCACGAAAGTCACTCAAATTTTAGTTTCAATTATTGTTAAACTTATAATCAGAAAGGTCATAGCTGATTGCCAATAATTAATAATGAAAAATCCAGTTTATGAAGCTTCACGTACACAGAACTCTGCACGTACCAGGAGTCCCATTAGAGGCAATCAAGGCTTAAAGACTTTTGTTTTACTTTGCATCTCTTCTGTGGTTTAAAGATAGCTCCAGAGAATCTATAGATTTAAATTAACAAAAATATGGCAGTTCCTTTACTAAACCAATACGATTTAGTCATAAAATTAAATTACTCTTCTAAATTCTATGAAAATATACACAGCTTTTATTCACCTCCATTTCTTACCAATGTCTTTACATTCTACTCACACGAGTCTTCAACTTGACTATCACTTAATGTTCAAATTCAACAGGGGGTAGAAAGGAGGAGAAATTATATTGGAACAATGTTTAAAAAAAAAGAGGAAAAAAATTACAACTGACATTTGACAGAAAAATTACCTGATTATCATATCTAAGAGACTGCGTTCCAACCAAAAATCTTATTGCATCTGTTTCGGCTGTCTGAGGTGTTAAAGCTCGTGCCTAGGGAAGAAGAAAGCCATTAGAAAAGCAATCCATTAATTTCAGCAAAATCTTGAAGCTTACGTATCAATTATCATTTTAAGCATTACATTCTTACAATCTGCAGACTTTCCCACCCTTTATGTCCATTTTGGTTAATACATTTTTTTTTTGCGCAGTTTCTCACATTTGTGAGGTGTGTGGAACATAGAGGTGCTAAATACATTATCTGGCCTTCATTGTAACAGTGATAATATTCAATATTATAGCAGTTCTTCCAAACTAATTCTCCTTTATCAACCAAAAAAACCTCTATAGAACAGTGGTCAATCCTTAAATACATTAGCTAAAATATCCAAGAAAGAGACTGTTCCCGCAAAAGTTTTCAAACCATTCATTCAGACTGAAGATGCCTACATAAAAATGAATTCTTTTCCTTGCCATTAACCACCTAGTTTAGAAGAAAGTTAAAAACCAACCCCCTTCTCTTCTACTTCAGGCCACTAAAGATAAGAATTGTCTGAATATAGGAGAAATAACTTGTTATTTACCTATCAAAATTTTGTTATAATCTTATTAATTTTTTGTATTAATGAGAATGCTAGGCTCTCTGCCTTGCTTCTTCAACTTGCACCAACCACAGTCTTGGTAGAAGCAAAACAAAACAGTTAAGGGCCATGGAAGACATTGAGAAATAAAGTATAGCTTGAACTAAACCCACAATTGCTAGTTTGCACTAGTCAATAGTAGAGACTCTCTTAGCTAATTTTGAGTAAATGGGAGGTAAACTAACACTCAAAGGCACTTTTTGCAACTCTAAGTAAACTGTGAGGAATATCCACTACTTCCCCATGCAAAAGATACCCTAATTATATTGTTCAATATGATTTTTTTTTTTTTGTCAAAACAGGAAAACAAACCTTTGCAATTCACATCCTGTTTGGCATAAAATAGTTCAGATCTCTTCAGACACTAAATCCTGTATTGCAAGCAAATACTTCAGAAGGATTCAGGTAACTGAATGGCCCTTCTTACTGCCATCCTGTCATGCAGCTAGCTAATGATTACATTCTCGATTCAGGAACATTTAGCTTCAGTATAGTCCTGTTTGAAACTTATTTTTAAATTAATATCAGAAAGATGCCTAGAAGCTTGAAAGGGATTATTTGAAATCCATTACGTCACAATACATAAATTTAGAACAATTTAATTCTAGAACAGCAATTTGAAGAGATCTGATTTTTTTTAAAATAAGGCAAAGTAATCCAAGCCCTTGTCTGGCAGTAATAATAAGAACCAACTCATTTTTCAGAATAAGCTCTGAACTCCTACAGAGCAGGTATTTCTTACCTTGCATCTGAAATGTGTGTTTTAGACAATGTAATATTTTGCTTAAGATTCAGCATAGAAAGTTTAAAAAATGCAAATGAGCTTGGTAAGTATAGGCTAGTAGTGTAAAATTTATATAGGGAAAAAAGCACTACAGAGCATGTTTCAGCAAGTAGTTTGTGTTCAAAACATACTCAAATGGAGATCAGAGATCAGTGTGAATGCCTACCGATTTGTTTGTACTCTCCTGTTTATGCAGTGCTTACCTACAAGCCTAGACAGTGTTTCTGATTGACAGAAACAACTAAAGTTCACCAAGAAGATTGTAGAAAAGCTTTTATTTTGTCTTGAACATAATTTACATTTGCAGATCTTGGGCAAGAGCTCCTTTTCATTTCAGATCTGCTTTCAACTATTTTGAAGAAAACACTAGAAATAAGCCAAGAGCTATGTATCTCTTTCAATCAAGCAAGCTTCTGTTATTTCTATAAGTCAAACAGAAGAAGAGACCTCCACGATCATCAATAAAATAAAGAAATAAAGGGGGTTTTCACCCCTTTTAAGGCCTTTTGAGTAGGTCTTACCATGCTGCTTTCAAAAATGCATCAGATTAGACACAAAGTGTCGAAAGTAAAATTATGTCAATACATGGTAACATTTATGTCCTCAGCCTCCCTATGTCTTCTTTAAAATATTTTTAAATTATTTCCCATTTTTGCAGGGGAAAAAAAAAAAAAAAAAGGCCCGGAAAAATATTTAAACACATTTCACAACAAGAAACACACTATTGTTTATTCGGTGTCATAAAAGACTACAGCATCCAAAGAATACAAGGTTCAAACTCATTAAGCGTTCATAAATCAGGAATATCTGATTCATAATAGAAATAACAGTACAGTGGACTTCCAGTTGTCTCCTGAACAAAGATATGTCCAATTTTGTCTACTTCTGAGTTACTTTTAGAGAAACAGAAGTTATTTCAACAGATGATGAAGACACTGAGTAACCCTTGTGATGAACAACATAACTGAATTTGGAGTGCTGTCAAGATCAAGATGACTGCCTTAAGTTTGTCATCTTGTACTGTAATCTACCAGAGCAGGTTGGAAATATATTTCACAAAAGCATCCTGGTTCATGACTGCAGCTACTAGATGGCAAATAAACAAAAGCATATATATGAATATAACGAATATTGATTAATCTAAACCAATAGAACTTATTATTTTTATAAAAAGTCAGCATCCATAGGACACTAAACTGCATATAGCCCCCAAAAGCGTTTGCTACCCAAGATATTAAAGTATTATTTACTAAGAAAATTGCCGTGATACATAAAAAATGCCCAGAACACACATCTGAAAGATGCGAACAGGGAGAAAACAAGTCATCCTTCCACACACTGTCACAGCAAAGCCCCACCTAACCAATGCTTCTAGACAATGCAACAACATATGTAATTAGATAATTTTATTTTAAAGAGGGCCTAAGACTAGGAAAAAATTATTAGCAAGCAAAGATTAAAACATCATGAACCCCAAAGAACCATTTGGTTACATGTCCAAATTCCATATTCAACAACAGCTCTATGAAGACACGTGCATGGTTTAAAGCAGGTAATTTTTATAGAACAGGGGTGATACAGAGGCAACTTGATTGTGATTGATGCTCTAACCAAATATTTTAACAGTCTAGAAGGAAGTTTATAATATGCAGTCAAAATTCTGCTCAGCTAACACAAAGGAAATCCTGCCTTTGAAAAGCAAACAGCAAAGACTTCTCAGTGCCAAACAAGTCTGCCAAGGAATCTGAAAGAACCACCCCTCCTTAGAGGCTTTTCAAAGTCTATGTATTTATTCTGCGTAATAGCCTGTAGCTTCCCCCGTTCTCATTTATTCCACTAAATTAGGGGTTGCACATAATCACAAAACAGAAAACCAAAGAAATGCAACAATTATCAATTCATCCCTGCACTTTCAGGGGAAAAAAAAAAAATGTCTATGGGTAACAACAGATGCTGAGCAATTGTTGCAGAGATGCAGGGAATAGCATCACCATGCTCCAAAGGCATTCCTGACTAGTACTCTGTACATCATACGGCTAGACACTCTTACCCACACTGAATCTTTCAAGGTGACAAAAGGAAGAAAATATCTTAGGACTCCAGCGTAAGGAATATTGCATGTACTCAAATACTTAAATACATTTAATATATTAATGAGAAATACTAGGTTCCACATGCCATATTCAAGAAACTTTTGTGGTTTGGGGTTTTTTTTGGTTTGTTGTTTTGTTTTTTAAAAAACGCATGGTGGCCTGCTATAGTACAGTTAAAACTCAAATACTCTTTTTTTTAAACTTTCCAAACCAAGGTGTGAATTCATACTTAAACAGAAATACAAAACTGAATAGCCTATAGCAATGGTCATACTGAAGTTCAATATGGGTCAGGGAGACAGAATGTAGTCAAGCAAACATAAACTGGCATTTTCATTTACTGCATCCTGAAGTACTTTACAGAGCCATAAATTACATACCTAGAGAGGAATAACTACATGCATGCATGGAAAAATAAAAATGAAAAAAAAGCATTCACAACGCATCATCTATTCCCAGGGTAGTATAGCTGCCATGCTTTTAGTAGCAGAACCACAAATTCTGCATGAACTTTGAACATGCTATACTTCTATCACAGCAGAAAGCAAAACTAATCCTATGGAGGGACAGAGATCAAAAAGAGAGGGGTGGGGGGTAGTAAAGAATCACCTGAAGCTAAGTG